TTTTTTTATTGTTTCTAGCTTGTACTTAACTGTAAGTTTTACTGATTCGTAGGCCATTAGGTTTTTAAGCGGTGATATTTAAAAACTTGCAAAAAATCGTACAATAAGATTACCAGAAAAGGCTTATTAACGAAATATGACGGCCGCGTGAATCAGTCTTCACAAAGTTATTCACTTGCACGTATTACTGTCTTATAAAGCCTAAAAATGCAAAGATCCGGAGTGAAGTTGATGGCTGTTTTTTTTTTTTTTCTCTTGTTGTTTACCATTTACTCGGAAAAACCGGTTGGTCGACAATTGAAGTAAATGGAACGCATCAAATCATGAATGGAAAATTCGACGGGGATGCCCTCGTTCCATTTCCAAGACTTTTTCCCGGAAAATAGGATCAAAGGCGATCCAGGCCAAAAGGCCTGGAACTAGTAAAAGATGGAACGCACATTTTTCATTCGGAAATTCCGTTTGGGAATTTTGGTCTACCTTTCAAGAAATCCCGTTTTCCCGAAAAAAATTCCGTTCGGGAAGACAAATTAATCTTGCCATTTACATTCCATCCGAGATTTCCGTATTTTTTTTGAGTAAATGGTAAACATCCGATGTTTTTGAAGTGATAAAATAGTTTTGCATAAGAATTAAAAAATCCAGGTCTTGAAAATATGCGGCGACATTTTTGTCAGCGATTGGTTCCACGGTTTGTAATCAATATTGATGACTACCTGTAGAATTCGCGCCAAACCAAATACTTGGTCATAGTGTGAAGACGTGGATTTATGTGCTTCTGCTGATGTCGAAATTCTTCTCTCACAGAAGATAAAGCAGGACGACACAGAAGTATTAAAATACTAATGGTGAGAGTGCGTTTTGATCTCGCTCCTTCACCAAATGGAACAAGTTATATATTCTTAAAGTCAAGTTCCACCCTCCGCTCGCAGTTGTCTTTACAGAGCTCTGCACAGCTTCGTTCGTAAACCAGATAGTCGTTGTTATGCAAACTCTGATATCTAACGCTTCAGTGAAGCGCTCAGAAATAATTTTGCGCAAGTTTGTAAGATATTTACGCTGAATTCCTGTCCTTCTCGTTGCGTGGTGCTCGAGGAAAGTTGAAATCCGTTACCACGTGCAACCAGTTCATACGAGCTTTGGTCGCTGCTTGCCCT